GGCTTAGCTTTGGCCTTCATCTTGAACTTCGCCTTTGGCTTCGCTTTGGCTTCAGCCGCCTGGGAGAGTCTGAGAGACGACTGGATCCAGTAGCGGGTTTGAAAGTTCTACATTGCCTTGCGATATCCATGAAAAGACTCATTTATTCCAATTTATTCTCTATTTAAGCATAATTTTTCATTCACTTTGATATGTGTGTGTGGATTCCAGGTATAATTTGCAATCCCGAACGAGTCATTGCATGCCAAAAGGCTCTCAACGTAAGCAACTTCACAAGATAAATTTGATGTGAATTGGCTTCCATCGGATTTCCCTGGGCTTGTTGAGATGGATTTACTGTGATTTACTGGAACAAACTGCATTGGAATTTACACAAGGACAAAGCACGACCAAGGGTCAAATGGCCACATTTTGGACGTCAACTTTGCATCACCGTCTCCCCAATGGATTTGCTCATAAAATCTGTGTTTCTTGGTCAAAGTGCCCATACGTCCCCATTTTCCTGGTCAAATTTGTATAATTAAATTTCATGAAGTTTCTATGTTTGCTGCAAATAGTTTTCATAGTTTTGGTCAAATGAGGGGTGCCCAAGAATTATCATATTTTTTCATGATCAAATATTGAACGTGACCAAAACATGAGGCCTTTGGGTCACAATTTCTGATGAGTTTTTCCCGTTGAATCCCCTTGTTCACTGCTGAAGCTCCAAAGTTTTCTGGTGAAAAAAAAATTGAGTTTTTCAGGATAAACTTGTCCTTTTCATTCCTTTTCTTCGTAAACCGTAAGCCCATCATATTTTTCTTCACCATTTCGCATCTGCGCCAACTCCGAGACTTGGCCTTTGCAGCCTCAGCTGCCTCGGCGTCGTGCTGTTTTCGCAGCTCCACGGTTTTTTCGTAAATCTGGCGGAGCAAAGCTGAGGTTTTTCCAAGGTTTTTTTGATGTTAGCCGGCTAGGTAATGACTAACAGTTTGCGAACTGGAAAATCTGAACATCTTAGGTATAGTCATCAACTAGTTTCATGGGCCATGTTCCATAGATATGTTAGATTACCAGAGGGTAATTTAGGGAAAGGTGCTACCGTAATACCCAGTTTTGTTGATGGTCATTTAGTCATTTCAGAAAAAAGTGCTACTATGATCTAATCTGTTCGAAATAGTGCGTGTCCTTTTGTTCAAAACATTGCATCATGGGACAGGTGGCATACCAACTATGGATATGATATATCACACAATATCCACCAAAAAATCCGTTGTTAACATGAATAAAGCAACTTAGCTAAATACAGAAAATTGTTAGGAGGACCATTTATTTTTGAAATTGAACGGATTCTTGGAGTACGCCTATTCTTTGGATAAACTCACCTGGATATTTGGGACCTGATTTTGTGTCTTGGAGACGGGTTTGCTACGGAGTTTATTTCAGGTATTTAGCAAAAACTCACTGTAAGATCTATCCATGGATCCATCAATGGGGCGTTCACCAGGAGTTAAGTCTAGAGTGATTTCGCAGACTCTGGGATACCCTCTGGTGATTTAACATAGCTATTGAAAATCGTCATTTTTAATGGGTAAATCAACTATAAATGGCAATTTTCAATAGTTATGTTAGTTTACCAGAGGGTATTTTCATTTTGGACTACCCACTGGGTATCGAACCTGCATTGCAATAAACCATACACACAGAGGAAAGGTACAAGAGTAATTAGATGCCGACAGGCTGACATAGCCTACGCCAAACTCAGGCTTTGCGGCAAAGAAATGAGAACTTAAATCGCCATGCTAGATTGTCAAATGGTAATAGGTAAGAGTGGATCAATTTGGTGGTGAAGTTTCAGGGATGCACCACGAGGATTTCACAAGGTCTTAGTATATCAAACCATTCAGCAGTTCATGTTGAGCCTGAAAAATACAGCGTCACATTTATCATGTACATATCCATATTTCCATGTGTATATATATATATTATATATATGTATAGTAATATTAGTAATAACATATATCCCAAAGATTCCCAAAGTCGGAATGCCTTGTGAATTTAAGCTTCAAACTTGCACATTGAAACACCAAGCACCTGTTCTTGGTGGCTTCCCACGGGTTCCGCCTGGTAGAAGAAACCACCCGCAATGCCGATAGGGATACCAACTGGGCACACGGCGCGGGGATCACAAGGCATCACAAGGCCACAAAGGGTCAGATCTCACATGCTAGGCTTGAAAAATCTCCCCGGCATATGGAGATGACAAAATGATTCGTAACATCATGACATAAATGATCTTCTGGTTGGAGCTTTCAACTGCATCTGCGCACTCGTCAGATTTTGTTTTGAGACATTTCACAAGCAACCCCAGATTTGGCTGACAAATCTATGATTTCCTGCAGGTTTGTTTTTGCATATGTTCATCCCCATTCTCCCCATGAAAAAATGGCTATTTGGGGGAGACACCCATGGTACAACCTGAGCTTCCGGCGGAAAAAGATCGTGGAAACCCTCAGTTTGAAACCATTTAAGGGAGCAACCCAAAAGATCCCAATCTCCGATGAATGACAAGAACCTGGGGGAAAAAAACTTTAAGAAATGAATCCGCAAGATTAAGATTATTTTACTGATTGCGTCACAGAGGCACAAGGGGGACAGTATAAGAGCTTTCAACCATGCACACATAAGACATCAACAGCTGCGGTTCAAATCCCATGAAAAACATTGGAAAACTGTTACAAAGTACCACTAGTGGAGCAGCATTCCTTGGTTTACCTAGGTGTGTTGATCTCCTTCTAGTTCAACTTTTAGCAGGCTACAGTATTTGGATGTATTTGGTGCTTGGCCATTTTCTTACAAGCCAACAAAACATGAAGTCTCGGTCTTGAGAATTTTAGAATTTTGAAATGCATGGCTACAATTCATCCAGATGTATCCAGATACGCTGCTTGGACGGAGACTGAGGAGAGGCACCCGATTTGAATGCCAGCTTTCAAGCCAGTGCCGTGCGCGTTTTCTTGCATATCAGGCCTGCGCAAATGTTGCGCAAATGTTGCGCAAATGACCCGAGAAATGAGGCTGAAATTGACATCAATTTACCTAAACTGTGGATGTGGCAGCTGCACTGCCTGATTCTTGGCCATCTAGGACATTCTAGGACAATAACTTTGACGCAATTGACGGGTCACTGCGAATTTAATGACAATCCGATCGACAGATCTTTCCATCGGAAGCTCAAATGTTGGCTCCATTGATCGACGCTTCAACGCAGCGATTTATGTGGTCTCACTTCCAGCTTTCTTTAT